CTTACCAAGATTTTATCAACAGAAATAAATATTTCACAATATTAAAAAGAGAAACATGTATTGCTAGGTAACGAACTACTTTACTGCTCCACGTTTAGCCACTTAGACTATTAGTTCTGTTCTTAAAACTCACTTCTCTTGAACATTTAAATCAATTGTTCCATTATCTACCTACTTTGTTTTCAATTCATAAATTCATTTATCCACTAGTTATTGACGATGAATCTATTTTATTGTCTGCTTTATTATATCATTATAGATATACAATAAGTAAATGAATCTAAAACTTATTCACTTTCCACAATCGATCCTCTTTCTTCACGCGGAAATGTTTTCTGTGATATAATATATTTCTTGGCGCTTTTATTGAGATGTTTTGCAAAATGAGACACAGTTTATGTATTTATAAAAGTTTGTCTGTCTTCTTGCAAGATTCTCTTTGACAAAATTGGTAACTTGTTTCAACACAATTTTGTTCTTGATGTAGATCTACATTCATATGTAGAATTGTGTTGTAGAAGTTTTTCCTCTTCGCATCAGGATAGAATAGGGAAGTATGCTTTCATTTACTGCTTTCTTTGGAGACCAGGTCTTCCAACAATCTATTGGAATACCTATGGGTACCAATCGCGCCCCGTTATTAGCCGACCTTTTTTTGTATTCATATGAAGCAGAATTTGTCCAAAATCTTGTACGTGAAAAGAAGAAAACACTTACTGTGGCGTTCAACTCGACATTTAGATATATCGACGACGTACTGTCAATTAACAATTGCTATTTTCATTCTTATGTCGATACGATATATCCTGGTGAACTTGCGATAAAAGATACCACAGAGTCTGACACATCTGTTTCATATTTGGATATTTTACTTGAAAAAGACGTTAATGGTAATCTAACAACCAAGCTTTATGATAAACGTGATGACTTTAACTTTTCAATCGTCAACTTCCCTTACTTATGCAGCAATATACCTTCATCACCTGCATACGGGGTATATATCTCTCAGTTGATTCGATACGCAAGAGCATGCTCTTCGTATGTACAATTTCTAAAACGAGGTAAATTATTGACAAGTAAGTTGATGAAACAAGAATATCAGCTGTCTCGTTTAAAGTCATCATTTCGTAAGTTCTATGGTCGATACAATGACCTTGTCAGCAAATACAATTTATCATTAAGTCAAATGCTGACTGACGTTTTGCGTACTAATTGTTAGGCCATTATTTACACACTGAATTGTCGACGGATTTTTCCGTTATTTCCCGATCATGACAAGGAGCACACGGCGGGTGTGACCGGTCGGCAGAGGATGCTCACTCCTCCATGGCACCTGATCCCACCTCTGATGTTTGGAGGTCCGTGTTTGCTCTGCTCCTATTTTGTATTGTATAATGGACTTTTGAGCTTGAATACTGTTCGTTATCTCCATATATTTCATTCATATGTACAGAAAATAGTCATAGAATTGTGAGCACTCTGAATTCTCTTGAGTTTATAAATTGTGGGTACAAGAAATATTTTTTCTCTATCATTCAGTTGTAAATTAGTAAAATTATCTCATTTTTCTGACATATGTCATATATATAAAATTTTTGATAATAATAACGTAGATAATTCTGTTCCATATTTGGATATTTTACTAGAAAAAGACGTTAATGGTTATCTAACAAGAGAGCTTTATGATAAACGTGTTGACTTTAAATTTGTCAATTTTCAACTTCCCTTATTTATCCAGCAATATACCTTTACCACCTGCATATGGGGTGAATATCTCTCAGTTGATTCGATACGCAATACCATGCTCTACGTATGAACAATTTCTAAAAGGAGGTAAGTTATTGACAAACAAGTTGATGAAACAAGAATATAGACAATCTCGTTTAAAGTCATCATTTCTTAAGTTCTATGGCCGATACAATGACCTTGTCAGCAAATACAATCTATCATTAAGTCAAATGCTGACTGACATTTTTCATACTAATTGTTAGGCCATTATTTACGCACTGAATTGTCGACGGATTTTCCCGTTATTTCCCGATCATGACGCGGCGGGTTTGACCGGTCGGCAGGGGATGCTCATTCCTCCATGGCACTAGATCCCACTTCTGATATTTTTGGAGGTCTGTGTTTGCTACTGATTTGTATTGTTTTAATGGACTATGGGCTTGAATACTGTTCGTTATCTCCATATTTCATGCAATTTATTTATAATTGACATTCTATTGTATTGTCAAACGAATTATATATTGCCATTATACCCAATTGATAACTCTAGTATTGTTTGCACAGTATTATCATTTGTATAATTGATCATGGACAAGAAACTGCTTACAAAGCTATACATTCTCGATAATGTCTAGACTGTAGATGTGACAATGGGTATAATTGTACATGCCTTCTCTAAACCCATACATGTATCTTCAGTTATACGTCACCTGAAGAATTCATTATAGATGTAGAGCAAGTATTTCACCTCAATGCAGGTTATGATTTATAACGTACACGAATGACAATAACCACAGAAATCTCGCAGACAACATGGAGTGTAAGGTTATTTCTATCTCCATTTCACATTATTGTCTTATAATAGATAATTGTATCAGAGCTTTCTTGCCGTCCTTGTAACAGTAGAATTTTGGTGTGCGCGTACCTAATTCATGAAAGAATAGATACACCCAGCACACTGTAATATGCAGAAAACAACAGTGCCTATATTAATTACTTTTTTGAGAAATATGCATCTATGATTTTTCATTTTTCTAATGTGTTCGATAATTTTTAAAACCTGACATGCTACTGACAGATAAGTTGATGTTTGTGGAATTTTAACAAGTCAGCATTTCGTAAATTCTATGGTCATACTGATCTGTTTGGCAAATATCACCTATAATTTGGCTGATGTGTTTCATACCAATTATTAGGCCTTTGTTTTTATACTAATTTGTCTAAGGAATGTTCTGTCTACCTGGTCAATACAAAAGACTCACGGCGGTTGTGACCGGTCAACACGGGATGCTTATTCCTTCTAGGCACCTTATCCCACCTCTGGAATTTACGGGGGTCCATGCCTGTCACTCTGTTCAAAGATCTGAATTATTTTAGAATTTTTTAAAATGATCACTGTTATCTTTACCTTTTTCTATCCAATAATACTTACTATCTAAATGTATGTTAAATAGAATATAGAGGGTCCAAGGATTTTTTTATAGTTATGCAAATAGTTGGCCATGAGGAGAGAAGAAGCTTTTTATTGACGTTATGAATCCTCCATGTATGACAAAATAAGCCCAATCGTAAGAACTGAACTATGGACACAGTGGCTAAAAATTTTAAAATTTGGGTAATTGTTGGCATTCTTCAACCTAGTCTACCTACTAAATGTCCATGAGCAAAGATGAACTTTTCATAAAGAAGAAAGAGCTTTATGCTTACTTAAATCCTGACATCGGTTTGATTGCGAGATATACAGTGATAGAGTAGAATAATTTTTTGGGAATTTTGGCCTTTCAGGTCTTAGATAGGAAAGGACCATAAATTAATATATTTACATTAATTCGTAGATGTTATATGACAAATTTGGTTGAATTGGTTTGGTTGTTCCAGTAAAAAAGTTGAAATGATCAAAAGCTGATGACCGATGAACGACACACGAAGACAGACGAAAAGAGATAGAATTAGTTACGATGAGTGGCTCAGATGACATAATACTCTGTAAATCATCTAATTTTATCTCTCGATATCAATTTCAACTACTTTCCTACTCCAGTTTTATCCAGGTTACACGACGATCCGAAGTGTACCTACAAGGCACTCCACCTGATAATCTAAATAAGTTTTTCTACCTTTTACCTTTCTTGTTTTAAGTACATGGATCCCTTAATTACTGAGGATGATTTTATGCCATTTTTTGATTTATAATATTAATTGCAGATAATGCAATAGTGAATTATACTATCCTACACTTATACTTATAATCCTTTAAAAAATAAACCAGACTTGTCAGGTCAATGTTTTGACTTCTAAGTTGATTTGAAGTGTAAACGCTTATTGGAATGTCATAAAAATTGTGTCTTGATTCATGTTTATAATTACCATGGAATATATCATTTTTGTTTTGAAGGCATATGTTTAAGATGTAAGAAATAAGTTGTAAATATTTTTACGACCGACCCACTATATTTAGCAAATATGACATAAAATCAGTCGTGTGGAACATTATTTAGCATCCAGATGTATAATTATTAGATATGAATTCTTTTAAATTTTACTTTATATTTTATAATATTTCCTATCTTCCACTGTACGATACACCATGAAAATATATGATACAATATCATTTGATAATGTCAATGCTGAGAATGATACTTAAATACCCGGACACTACAAGAGTTTTCACTGTTAATGAAAGGCATGGGATTCTAAATACAAATGTAGACGAATCAGAGGAATAAGACCAATGTAATCTTATCATTGCTTATTCTTCAAGGTGGGGGGCAATAAAAATTCTAATTCATATTTTTGTGATGATGTGATGGCTTCCCTATAGATAAGTTATGATTTCATGATGCAGTCGCTCAGAATCTCAGTTATTCTATGCATGCATCGTCAACAAAACACTTATTATTTAGGAAAAAGATGTATTAAAAGTTGAGCCCTAGATAATTTTTCCGGAAGACAACACATAAATAAGAATCTGAGTAATACGTTTAAAATTAACCTGTCTTATCGCTGTTATGATCTTAAGTGGGAGTCACTTCATATCATAATGAAAGCTTTTGGGAGCTAAGAGCATATATAAATATCGGACCTGCCTTCTTATGAAAATAACAATTTTAGTCAAATATTTTGTCAATGACATAACAAAGTTAACTCTTAAAGAGAAGCGCCAAGATTTGCTGTAAATCACGTAAGACTGGTCGTAAAGACCGCCCACTGCATGAGAAAATTCGCAGGGAAAGTATATTTAAAACCCATTCACGCATTGTCGAATACAACAATCGACTAGACAAAATATAGTGCACAAACTCAGAAGTCTGTTCACAAAGTCACAATAATGGATTTAAGGCTTATATATCTGGCATTTTTTCTATTTACTTTTGGAGCGGTGAGTTTTTATTTACACATCCTCTACATATATATTTTGTTTTCGCTAATCATTATACATTAATGTTTGCACGTCTACGAAATTAAACGTTTTAATAAATATTATTTAGCAATTTAACTGAATTAATGTTTTATTTATGCTATTACTTTTAGAACATTCTGGCTCAAAGGCTTTATGGTAAGTACCATCTTCTCTGTAAGATCAATACAAACATTTTAAATATCATAGGTAGACGTCACATACTGTAGTAGGTACCGAAGACAAATGCGTGGTCAACTTTTTATTCAGAAAAGATATCATTGTTAAAACCAAATCACAAACGACTTTACAAATTACTCATAAAATGAATGTCCATCCTGTATGACTCTAGCGTATCATATAATACTTTTCTTTGTACACGGACTTTTATCATATATAGGTAAATATTGAGGCAACTCATAAAAAATTAAGTAATGAAGTGTATTCGCAGTATTTTGCTTGCTGCGGCTGCACTTTGTTTTGTCATATGTAAGAATTTCGCATGCATCTTTTTTTAAACTAAGCAGAAAATGTATATGTTAATCAAGTTACTACTTACCATATGTCTATTTGACATTATAACTGAAAATGCGCCTGTTTCTCTGATAATGTGATCTTAATTGTTCTTGTTTTTAATTGAATGAATAACGAAATTTTTTTTCCTCATTTATGAATTACATAGGAAGGAGTGTAGCCTTTTTAGAGTCTACAGGAAATCTCACTTGTTACTTGGTATCCCATTCCATTTTTGCATCGTCAATATTTTAGAGTTCCTAGTATTTTCCATGTTTATATTCACATGGTTCTCAAAAAGTCACCTAAGTAAAGTTAATCAACTGCATATTGAGTCTCCTAGTTGGTCGGATATGCAAGAGCATCCTCTACATACGTACAATTTCTAAAACGAGACAAGCTATTGACAAAAATGTTGATGATACAAGGATATAATAAGTCTCGTTGAAAATCAGCATTTGGCAAATCGTATGGTCGATACAATGACCTTGTCAGAAAATACAATCTATCGTTAAATCAAATTGACGTTTTTCATATAGATAATTTCTCACTTCATTGTTTACGGATTTTTCCGTTTGCCTGATTACGACAAGGCGGGTGTTACCAGTCGACAGGGGATGCTTACTCCTCCATGGTACCTCATGAAAAATCTTCTGTCTTTTTAAAGGTCCGTTTTGCTCCCAAATTGTTTCAATGAACTTCTGAGCTCGATTACTGTTCTTAATCTTTATATTTCATTAATTCTTGTATAATTGAATTAGACAAGTTCCTTGCAATATCTGTACTCTGTTTCATGGACATTTTAATTCTGTAATGAGCCTACGAGATAGCATCTTTTTGACGGAGGAAAATGAATTAAATTTAACTATTGTTGCTGTTTTATATTTTCAAGCAGAACATTTCGAATTTGATTTTCAATTTGCCATTTCTTTACAGAAAAATCAGCAAAAGCTATAACAAAAACACATTACCCTTATTTATGGTTTCTTGAAATTTCTTAAATTATCAACAATGCTTTTGTTTCCTGTGATCTTGAGAGAATATAGTTAAAAAGGTAAAGTTATGGATACATTTGCAATCAAAATTGTACTTTTTATGCCTGAAAGTCGTCCAAATAATTCAAAGACAAAAAAAAACAGATAGGAAACCCTCTAAATTGCATTTTGGCATCAATGTAAGCGACTAAAACTCTCAAATGTCAGGTTTAGAGGCTTTAAAATTTAAGGTTCAGCTACCTGTAGACTTAGTGGAGATTTACAGTAAACGTTGCCTCTTTCAACAAACATTGCAAACATGTTATGTTTGATTAATTCAATATAATTTTAGATGCTGTATCTTCTTTTTCTCTTGACTTAATTTTACTAAATTGTGATCCTACTTGAATTATTATTCCTACTTGAGGTAGGGAAATTTTCTGCATTGTGTTCTCACTGGAGAAACAATGTCGATTTCACTGCTGTTAAATGTTCAGTTACAGTGTATATGCTAAATAAATGTTTACAAATAGGACGAGAAAAAATGCGCTGAGGGAGTTTGAGTCAGTGACCTTCACATAATTTACATCCGAATGCCTCGACATTTATCTCTTCATTCTTTTTTACGCATGATAACGATATCTTTTTTTAGACCAACTTGTAAGATTTTTGTATATTAAAACAAACTATGAATATCATTATGATCTATTTCAGATAATGAATATTATTGTGGGAACAAGCCAGCTGACGTTGTGTTCCTACTAGACTCCTCTAACAGTATTTGGGGACCGTTCTTTCAGAAGCAGCTTCAATTTGTCAAAGATGTCATATCTATGTTTCAAATAGGGGAAAACACCACCAGAGTCGGTGTTTTGACCTATTCATCAAACGTTAACCGAGAATTTTATCTTGACAAGTTCCATACGAAAGAGGACGTCCTTTCGGCTATAGGTAGGATTTCACAGATGCATGGATATGCTACCCACACAAACAAGGCTATAAAATTCATGAGGGAGAAAATGTTTTCGGTCAACCATGGGGCAAGAGAGGATGTGCCTCAAATCGGCATTGTTCTGACGGACGGACAATCAAGTAATATGTTAATGACGGTGTGGGAGGCATCCAAAGCCAAGAGACAAAAGATTTATATATTCTCCATAGGAATTGGATCCAGGATCAACACAAGAGAACTCAGAATGATGGCAACTCGACCTGCCAGTGAATACTTTTTTAGAGTATCAGACTTCAATGCACTTCAAAACATAAAAAACATTTTAGCTGTCAGAACATGTAGAGGTAAAGTTACATCATCATTTTTTTGGCAATAACTCTTTCATAATATGTTAACAAAACCTGTTCTTCTAGAAGAACTGAATTCCTGAACGACAAAGATAACACGTCTATTGTTAATGCCAATATTTAACCTTTTTTTAGTATTTAAAGGTACACCCGTGAACAACATATGTAAGAGTACGTTTTGATTCCTCATCTTCATATGAAATTTTATGGCTTTCCTTTTACAGTTACACCAAAGCCGACGACGACGACATCTACGACGACAACGACCACAACAAGTAAGTAATTCTCAACCCATTTCTGAAATTCTAGTCTTCCTTTCCCAAGTCAAAGACGTAAAAGTGTTTTTATGAAAAGTAACCTTGATTGAAGGTCAGGTAGATTATAATGCTGCTACATTGAATCCTGGGTGGTAACATAAAACTAAATCATCACACTAAAGACAACTCAACTACACAAATGTTTTGTAAAGAAACGGAGATTTTGGATATTCCCTTCCTCATTTTCATGCACTTCTGCATGCAAATAAGAATTTAAAATACAAGTTTTGTGTCTCACCGTAATAATTCGATACCCAAACAACTGTACGTTAATATGTATGTACATCTGTCTGGTGAAATTTTAATTACTGTGTATTTTCATCAGATAATGTAAGAAAGGAAGGCAGCTTGTTCGCTATAAATAAAACTATCTCTGTGAAGGCTGGCATAGAGTAAAGCTATTTTTTAAATTCATTTGTTACAGTATTTCAAATCAACAAGCCCATAATATTTCGATAAAAATAATTTGTCTAGTATACAGTATGTTTTATTAATGGTATTGATCGACTTATAGTGAAAAAAAAGTCTTGTTATTTACTAAAAAGGGATTTCTGTTTACTTTACTTACATCAGCCCGTTTTTTTATTTGATCGTAACAATTAGCACAGCATAGATCTGTGTAAAAGCCTTCCCCTCAGGTATTGAGTCGGTATTCAAAGAAAGGTGGGTTCCCATACAGGTGAAACACTTTAACCAAGGGGGATTGGCATTTTCACATCTGACCCGTGTAAGCTATTAATTTCATTAAATCGTCCTAATCTCTTCAAAATGAACTAAAAACCTGCATATGTGAATATATGTTATGTAATCAGCAAACACTATGATATTAATGTCCTTAACAAATTCACTTTATATTTTGTACAAAAATTTATATTTATGAAAAATTACATATCAATATTTTTGTAAAGGACAATAAAAAACCTAATTTCAAATTTTCAGAAATTTACCCACTTTTGTTTCCACAAGGACAGTCATTTAAAAAAATGCAAACACAGAAACTTGGGGAAACGATTACACATCCATAGTTTGCAGAATGAAAAACCTTGAGAGGAAAGCAAATTAGAAAGATTTTTTTTGTTCATGGTTCAATGAAAATAATGAAAAAGTGTGTCCAACCGATTCTTTTTATTTATTTATTTATTTATTTATTTATTTATTTATTTATTTATTTATTGTTACAGAAATCAGTGTGACTTGATACAAGGAATAATCCTTTAATGTGTCAAAAGAATTGTCATGGAGTGACTGAGAAAAAGTGGGATTCAAAAATCTAATATCTTCAGTATCCATAGCAATATTAAATGTTTAATACAAAACTACACTTGGTGATTGTATTTTTGTCAATGTAGTTTTTTAAAGATTGTCCAAGCCATTAGCGAAAATATATGTGGGCAAAGTTATACCGGTAGGTGGATCAATAATATATCGCCCCAATTTCATTCGGGAGACATAATAAACCAGTCAACATTCAAGCACTTCTTCAGTAAGATATAAATCACCAAAAATGCTTTGTGTATATAAAAAATATAATTCATTTAAACTCCATGAAAAAGAACAACATCTAGGGCAAACGATAAGATACCAGGTGAATAGGAAAAGTCATGTCATATATATTTATGTAGTTTACATTTCTATACGTAGACATTCTGTTTGACAGCTACTACACCGGCCCCGACGACGACTTCCTTGCTTCAAGTAGCACAAGCAGGTTAGAAGTTTGTACTTTTGATTCTGTAGGTTTGTCAATATCATCTCGATAGAAAAAGATACACAGGTAATAAATCAACTTATTTTTTATTGATAAAGTGTGTAAAGATGGAGTCAGTGACGTCATTTTTGCATTTGATTCTACAACAACCATTTCTGATGCGGACCTTGACAATCAAATGTCGTTTGCAAAAGAAATTGTCAACACTCTGAACGTACAAGCAAATGGAACACGAATAGGTGCAATTTTATACAGTGACCAAGTGGTAAATGCTTTGGATTTGAATGATCTTTATGATCGAGATGACGTCATAGCTACCCTGGATAAAACCAAAAGGACTGCGGGAAGTAACAGATTGGATTTAGCCTTCAAACATATCCGCACCAAAAGCTTCCGTAGAGGTCTAGCTAGGAGAAATTCCGCTCAACTCGCTATTGTGTTCACTGGATCTCCTTCCACTTACATAAAATATACAACAACAGAGGCTCACAAATCTATCGACTCTGGAATTTCGATTATTCCTATTGCCGTTGGAAATTTTGACATTGAGGAAATAAAATCAATTACTGGTACCTCTGGACAATTTTATCAGGTGCCTTCTTTCAGAGATTTATCTACCCTTATAGGAGAGGTTGCTTTGGAAGCATGTAGAGGTATTTACTATAATTATTTTTATTTTTATTATCATTGATAGTGAATTTTGTTAACATTATGAAGAATCGTAAAGATTTAAGAATCGCCAATACATAAAATTTTGTTTGGTATATTTATTGCAGTTCCAAAAGCTGAGACACCTATACAGGATCAAGGTATGGGTTAATTAATTGCTTATGATTTAAAACTGCTTTTAATATACATGTACTTTCATAAACTAAATTTGGTATCTGAATCATTCTTTAAAATCTTGTTTAAAAAAGATTCACCAATTTAGTCTTGAATCACCTTAAATCGAGTTAGTGGTTTACATCAGATTACTCGTAATAGTAAACTCTTTGTTAAATTTATTTCAATAAGTGTTGACGAGTTAAAGACAAAGACACTGATAAAATAATAGTCGTGTCATTTTTAACCATCGACCAAAATAAGTGGCAAAATTGAAGATATTAGAGGAAAAACTGTATACGATATTAAACGTCTGTTGCTTACATTCTGATTTTTTTCAGCATGTGGCTCCCGTCAAGAGGCAGATATAATGTTTGTATTAGATAGTGTCAATGCTGGTCGCACGAATACTAAGAGAGCTCTGGCTTTCCTCAAAGATCTTACAAAAGAACTAGCTATCGATAAAGACAAAATTCAGGTTGGATTGATGTCGGCTGAATGTCAACAAGACAGCCCCGGGTTTGCACTTAGCTCCAACAAAAACGGAGATGAAGTGAAAAATGCTTTAACAAAGGTCAAAACGGTAGACTTTTCTGCTTTACTTAAACAGATGAGACACGGGGCATTTAGTCATCGCCAAGGAGGTCGACGTCATGCGAAGAAGGTGGCGGTACTCGTAATAGATGGAAGTCTCGAGAAACCACTTCGAGCACTCACAGAGGCCCAAAGAGCAAAACTCCATGGAGTGGAAGTGATTGTGGTTCAAGTGGGAGAGGAAAAGCCCCAAGAAGAGGTCCTGATGATGTGTGATTCTCCTTCCAAGGAAACTTTCTTCAAAGTATCAGATTACAAGGATCTTCCGGCAGTGAAACAGAAAATTTGGGATAGTTTGTGTGATGGTACGGAACTGTAGTTTTTAAATTCATTAATTAATAGTTTATTTTCAAGGCAGGAGGCTTGGCCAAGATTTTTTCAAGTTGAACCTCTAGATCATTTTGACAAAAATAGTAATTGTGGAGAGTGCACACTCTCATAAAAAAAGATTTTTTTTTGAAATCAAAACATTGTCTGTACTTTTCATGGCACTATAAGTAAAAAATTCTTGAGCAGTTTTGATAAACACCGATTGAAAATCAAATTGGATGGCTTTACGTATTTTTTCAATGTATCTCATGGATATTAGTTAAGTCTCCTTACAAAATATGTTTTTATTTTTCTATTACTTTTTTGCAGAACTTTGAATGTTATTGCCGGTCTCTACATTGACCCAATGGGGAGGTCATCTGATCTGATGCCTTGTTGTGGCTATCTTCCTGTTCAAGGTTGGATGTCTTGATCCGCTGCTAGATGAAATAAACAAGTTTTTCAGACCAAGGAATGTGGTCTCTTTATAAGTGAATTTTATCACCATTAATAACGAGAAGTTTAGTCATTCACTGGAGTAAATATATATAGCATCGCATTTCTCCTTTGTGTATTGACAAAGGTATTGCATAATATGTAAACGTTACCTGCTGTTTATTTCTTCTTTTATAAAATTTTGAGTTTGTCCCAACGAAAAGACAAATCATTACATTGAACCTCAGCATATCATTACTAAAATGATTTATACATCCAATTTTTTCTAATCCAACATCATACTATATGATTGTGAAATACTTATGTTTTAATGTTATATATTTTTGTACAATTGTTGTTGATATATTATTTATTGTTTTATATATTTTATACTTTAAATGGTTGGTGCATTGAATGGTTTTACAAAAATGCTGTTTAATTTAATAAATAATTTTAAATATATTTTCGTCAATTTTGAGAAAACTTCTCCATTCCTTTCCAATTATGTGTAATATTATTTGTCTGGATCTTTCCTTTACATTTTGTTTTCGAATTTTGAGAGGATTGCTGATTCACCTATGCAAAATTGTATCAACAATTGCGTCCTTTACCTTCTTTTGTGTTCAAGGGACGTCACCTTTGTATTTAAATGTTGCCAAAATTTTCAAAACATGAAAGACATGTGATTTAACTTTGACATAGACATTAAAGTATATAAAATTAACGAGAAACGTCTAACGTGTCTAGATACGAGATGATATAGAATCCAATGAATGAATACCAAGTATTTCATACAGTAAGTGCTAAAATAAATTAAAGCAGGCGAATCTGTTTTGTAACCGGTAGAAGAGTCCCATGGGAACAACTGATGTTGTACAGATTTATACAGTTACAGACAACTACTAGTAATTTATCTTGCAGTTACAATCAAATAATAGTAATTTATCATGCAGTTACAAAAATATACAAGTAATTTATCTTACAGTTACAAACAAATACTTGAAATTTATCTTAAAGTTACAAACAAATACTTGTAATTTATCTTAAAGCTACAAACAAATACTTGTAATTTAAATTAGATTTACAAACAAATACTAGTAATTTATCTTACAGTTACAAACAAATACTAGTAATTTATCTTACAGTTACAAACATATAATTTATCTTAAAAGCGTGTGGAAGTTTGTAATAAAGAATCTCTGCCTGCAACATAAATCGATAAAAGTTGCCAAATAAAAGGACTACATCAGGATCCTTTGGTCGGATTGATATTCTCGATGTTGCTTATGAGTATTATCTTTTTAATCCGCTTTATTTTTTGGATACAAAATGTTGCTAAAGAGTATTGTCATTTAAATCCGAGTCGTTTGAGGTAAAAAAAAAAAAAAAATGTTGCTTATGTGTATAATCATTTAAATCCGAGTCGTTTTGGGTACAGAACGTTGCTTACGGATATATTCCTTTAAATCGGGTACAAAATGTTGCTAATGAGTGTTATCATTTAAATCCGAGTCATTTGGGGTTAAACAAAATGTTGCTTTTATGTACTATCAATTCAAATCCGAGTCGTTTGGGGTGCAAAATATTGTTTTGAGTATTATCATTTATATCCTAGTCGTTTGAGGGACACAAAATATTGCTTAAGAGTGTATCATTTAAATCTGTGATGTTTTGGTTAAAATGTTGCTGATGTGTATTTTTTCATCATTTAAATCCGAGACGTTTTAGGGATACGAAATGTTGTTTATGAATATTATTATTTAAAACTGAGTCGTTCTGGGAGTATAAAGTGTTGTTTATGAGTATCATCATTTAAATCCGATTCGTGGAGGGATTCAAATGTTACATACGAGTATTTTCAGGTTAAATCTGAGTCGATTTTGAGGTACAAATATTGCTAATGAGTATTATTATTTACAGCAAAGGGAGCGGGAGTTTTTATTCGGATTTATTGTATGGTTATCATTTTGATACTGCACTTATATAAAAAAAAAAATGGTGCACTTAAAACATTCAATCGTAAATATTCAGTAAAAAAAATCAATTTAGATTTTGTACAGCGCATCACTGAAAATAAATAGATGGATGACTTGTCTTTTACGTGATTTATGGACGCCGACGTTTATAGTCTTTTGCTATTATTGTTAATTATTTTCTCATATACCAAATTACAACAGCTTTTTAGTTTGAGAATTATTTCTCAGACATCTCCATGTCGTATGTTTTTTATCCCTGTACTATACATTAATTGTCCGTGAAATCAAATTGCTCTGAATAAGTTTTGCTGTTTTTTCACGAAAAAAATTAAGATAAAGATAAAGAACTTCTACATGCTATCGCCTTTCCCCTTATTTTTTTTAAATTCATGTTGTGAATATGTAAAAATGTTTATTTTATGCGATTTTCTGATATTTATCGAAAATGAGTCGCTTCGTTTGGTTTTAAGAACTTTTTGTCATCATTACCAAAAAACTTGTATTATTTAAAATGATTCTCAATTTAATTACTTTATTTGGCTGAAGGGCCAATGGTAATGTTAACAAATTTTAGAAAATGAAGCCGCTGGTACATGTACTCTCTTCATTGTTTTCCTTATGAAATAGTTAGATGTACGCAATAAGTTTTATAGTACCGACGTATACTGCTTTGGCCAAAAGTTATAGAATCACAAAGAGAATTTTTTTCAAATTGTAATATTATAAATGATATTTTAATTAACAGACAAGCAGCATAAAACAGCTTACATTGTTTTTTTACGGTTAAGATGTTTTAGGTCGTCTACAGTTTACAGTGAAACAGCATACGGTAAACCCCTGTTTCTTTTTTTTACAGTTAGTTATACTTTTGAAATTTATCCTCATATGAACCATCTTTCTTGCCTGATCAAATGGTTGCTTGATTAAATGGTTGCCTGATCAAATGGTAGCTTATTATAACATTGCAAATTGAACACTTTTCTGACTTTCATCATTTCAAGGTCGGGAAATGGTGTGGTTATTTCTTCATATATATCGTAATTGTCAATTTCGACATTATTTTGCCTGTATTCCTGTTCCACAGGTGGGGATTTGCAGTGTCCATGATGTCATAAAGTCGACTCAGCGATCTTTTTCTTGCTTTTATTAAGCAGCTGACTCTTTTCCTCATCATCAGCGCCTCCTCTACTTCTGTTTCTAAAAATAACATTCTTAATGCACTGTGAAAATGATTAGATTAGAAATGTTGATATGTTAACATATTATGCATTCTTTTTCACTTTTTAGCTTTGAACTTATATATTTCTACATCAATTTTCTAAGCAACATTTGTCATTTGGAACTTGAGGTGTTTGGTAAGAGTACATAAGCTATTTGAAATATAAGATCAGTTTCTAGTTGATTATACAATGCATAATTTCATATACATATATAATTTTGAGCTGCACTGAGTCCGATCATAAACTAAGCTTCAGGACGGTCTATCACTATTGATAAAATTATTTTTCCATGACCTAAAGACCATATATAATTTACAAGGAAACACAGCATTGACCTACTGTATCATTTATTTTGATAGAATCTCGAACTATACTCCCAGAACACATTTCCGTTAATACATAACTGGAACATTTTCGCGTTATGCAAGTATATCTAAGAATATGAGACAAATGCACATTTATCTATGAGATAACATCAAATTTTTGAGTACCCAAGACGCTCAATGCCAATGGCAGATGATTTTTGGTGCATAATATGTATGTAAACTTATATTTGCCAAGATTCCAGGTTTTATGTTTTATTGCGGACACCTGCAGGAAGCTATGAAGTTTATTGATCGTGACAAGCTAACTACGTGCTTCTTTTCTCCCTTTTTCTGTAAATTGCATATTTCATGTTGTTCTTATTATTTTCTCCTACTGCTGTAGTTAAATCATTGGAAATGTATTAGACAAAGAGCTGAGTTATGTTACAAATCTCTCTGTATTGAATATTTCAGGCAATGCTTCTTGTGTTGTGGTTCAATTTGGAACTGTTACAAGCGGAATAATTCCTAGAAACGACAATATCCTTCTTATTCGGCGTCCATGCCATTCTTACTAATTGTCTTATTATGCCAGGTAGTTTAGAAAATATGCTGTAACATAGCTACTATATATATTTAGAGAGAGAGAGAGAGAGAGATGTTTGCGTCAATGAAATATGTTAAATTTTGATATTCAGTTGAGATCACTTTTATAGCACATGTTCCTCATAAACTCCCAGACCTTAAGCTTAAGTTAAAATTTATCATAGGATTTTCAGCACTTGTCCAACATTCTTTAATCATGTGCATCAAGTGAGAAATTATCATATATTTGTAGATGTGTGGTATTGTCACAGCAGAGTGCATAGACACATTTTTGAATTGTAAAATATTTTTATATGCCGAATTATATTTTCTTTTGCATACACTAGTACGTAAGTTCGTGATATCCCTCTCTTTCTTGAAACTTTAAAGTTTTGCATATAGAGTTTCATCTGTTCACCATCTTTTTTGCTAAATATTTCATAGATTTCCAAATATTTCTCAATTGTTTTTAGGTGATTTGATATGCATCTCAGATGCATGCGCCATCCAACATTTGCTGTAAATTACTTATTTTATTACTACGCCAGTAGATAAGAGACCCCTTTAAACAGCAGCGCAATGCAATAAAATTTTAGTAAAACCTAAATGTGTAATATTAGATGAGTAATATTACTGTCAGATTTCTGTAAAGCACATCTGGTAGCGTTTTTAGAAAGAGTGTATGAATGGAATGGAGCATACGGTCAAATGTTGTATGTAATTAACATTTGTTTCAGGCATTTTCGATATGCCAGGATTGCAGCCATAATCTTCCCGTGGCGAATAAAATTAAGCGTAGATATTTTAAATTTTCTCTGACTTTTGATTTTTGAAAATTAATTTCTTTACATTTACTTGACAATAAGATGATAGTACTTCTTTAACGGCAACTTGGCCGAGCTGGTGTGTTAACTCTTTAACACAAAGCACCCATAAGGAGTTCCACCACTAACTTTCGTCAACGGGTATCTTCCGTGAAGTAATTGCTGTTGTCATGCCACTCCCCAGGTACTAATATCCTGGCACTTCCCACTTAGTGATATGGCACCTTTTTTCCTGAGACAAGAGACTGCCTTATTGAGATCTTACGTTTAATTAAATTCCTGATATAATCTTTGCTGAGTATCCGCAACTGTTTGGCTTATCTTTGTCTTATAACAGCGTATAAGACGATACACAGCCAAGAATGATCAAATCCGTTACCAGAGGGGTATATTCCGCTATATACAAACACACGGAAACCCAGGTATTGCTTCCCCAGGTGTCTGTCTAACCATCTTTCACACTTTCGAAATGAAATATTGAGATAACGAACAGTGTTCAAGCTCAAAGTCCATTTAGACAATACAAATCAGAGGCGGAGCAAACATGGACCTCCAAAAACATCAGAGGTGGGATCAGGTGCCATGGAGGAGTGAGCATCCCCTTCTGACCGGTCACATCCGCCGTGTGCTTCTTGTAATAATCGGGAAAAACGGAAAAAATCATAGACAATCCAGTGTGTATATAATATCCTAACAATTAGTATGAAAAACGTCAGTCAGCATTTGACTTAATGGTAGGTTTTATATGCTGATAAAAGTCATTGTATCGATCATTAAACTTGCGAAAGATGAGACTCCAGACTATTGATATCCTTGTTTCATCAACTTGTTTTCAATAGTTTGCCTCCTCTTAGAAATTTCTCATACGCAGAGCATGCTCTTGCGTATCGAATCAAATGGGAGACAAAACCCTGTATGCAGGTGATAAGGGTAATACTATATTGCCATACAAGTAAGGGAAGCTGACGAATAAAACATTGAAGTCATTGCGTTTATCATAAACCTTTGTTGTTAGGTTATCATTAATGTATTTTTCTAGTAAAATATCTAGATATGAAACAGATGTGTCAGACTCTGTAGTATCTTTTATTTCAAGCTCACTGGGATATATCGGGTCGACAAATGAATGGAAGTAACTATTGTTAATTGATAATTGAAGGGTATATATACTATTCTGTAGATATAGGATTGGATAAAGGGGTTTTGGTAAAATTCTAAGTTTACTGCATTCATGACCTTAAACTTTGCCAATGGCTTATTTTTACATTGTATCATTTGAACTGGAAAGTGTAGGAATAAATTTAGCATAAATGCACCTAAACGTTTTAAAAATACAGAGATTCTTATGTTGTGACCACGAGCTTTATCATGTAATACTTTTATTCAAAGAAAATGCTTTTGTTGTATATTTTTTGGGGCTAATTGGTCATTATTATAGGCCTTATTAAAATGATTTATTGACTATCCTGGCCTGGGAACCTTGGGCTATGACTTTAAAAAAAAAATTTAAAAAAAAAAAAAAGGATTGCATGCGCTGTCTATGTATTTAAACAATATATGTAGTTGGAAATTTGATATTTATTTTGTTTCTTGATTTCCTGCAAAACAATATGTCAGTTCAACGATAGCTGTTTGGCATCCTTTTCAATCCTTCACAAAAAGATAAAATGAGAATTAAAAGAACGTATCTTAACTGTTGTTGTTGTTGCAGACGACGGGTTCTTAAAATGGTTTTTATTTCTCTATATATCTGTAAAAGTGTCAGGATATATGAAAAATTACATCTTTTATAAAAGCGATCAATTTTGACCATTCCATAAGATAAATAACCGCTTCATTGTGACCATTCCATAAGATAAATAACCCTAGAGTGAAAAGAAAACTAAACAGACTTTCATTTTATTAAACATTTGCAAAAGTTGTAAAAATATGTAGAAAGACAGATGTTTTAAACAGAATGTATAAAAATAGCGAAGGTGAATCATGCAACAGCCCTTTTTTCAACATAAAATAATCGCATCCATACAATTTCATTTACACAAAGCATTCTTTCTTTCAATATTCACATTTATCAATACAGATTGCAATAAACAGTTTGTATTGCATAGAAACAATATCACATACAAACAATATCACATGCATACATATTAATTGTAAGGGGATTTTCCTTGTGATAAATACTTACCATTTCTTTTGACATATATGTCACACATGAATAATGTGATGTCATGCACTGATACAGGCAGCATTCTTGGTAGAAATATTTATCTTTTTCTTTATTTAGCCTGTCCAGATTTTGCATTTTTCATACATAATATTTGCAGGCGTTTAGAACACTTAGTACTGTCTGTTTCTGTAACAAATATGTTATTAGACAGCATGTGCAGTAAGTTCTGAATCGCACATCTCTGTGATCCTCTGTTCATGATTATAGGTCTAGTGTATCTCATTGGTCCCAGTCCAAGTGTGCATCTCACATCCGATCACAGCTCTTATCAAAATGACACAAAAGTTGGAATTTTATGTTAAGGAACACAAAATAAATTCTTTTAAGCACAGGAAGGATTATTATATAAAATTCGTATCTTAATTTGTTTGCAATGTAATCAATATGTAATGTGTAATTAAAAAAAATACCTGTTTTACTTTTTCAAATTCGAGGATACATCAGAGTAGTTTATCTTTTCAACTTTAAACATTTTCTAGAGAAAATAATCAAACAAATTCATACTTACCATCACACATATTGTACCAGATCTTCTGTTTAATGTTTGGCAGATCATCATAATTTGAAAGGTGATAGACATTGTTTTGTTTAAGACCTTCATCATTCATCATTTGTCCGAACTTATCATTCTCGATGGAAAGATCTTTGCCAACTTTTACAATATAAACTTCAATTCCCTGAATGCTGGCCCTCTCTGCCTCTAAGAAGGCCTTTACTGGGTCTTCTAGTCCTTCATCTATAAATAAAATGGCGACCTTTTTTGCACCTCTTCTTCCTCCTTTGGCCCGTGAGATCATATTTTGTCTTAACTTTTTCAAAACGGCTGATACATCCGCACCTTTAACTTTTCCTAAAGCGCGATTTAGTTTTTTGTTATGTTTGTAGGTATTGAGGTTAAATCCAGCAAAGTCTTCCCCACACTCTGGCTGCGTCGACACGACACCTACTCGCACCTTTCTGGATCCAACGTCTACGTCCTTCATTAAGTCTTGTATAAAAGCTAAAATCTTTCGGGTATTGGTTTTTCCGGCATTTACTCCATCCAACATAAACATAAAATCTGCCTCCTGTCTTGAGCCACATGCTGAAATATATACGTCAGAAACATATTTTTATAGGATAACTTTTCTAAGGTAAATTATTCAATGTTATAATTAATACCTAAACTGATTTAACTAGGCCTATTTGGAAACGGTGTATTCTGTATATTACGGGAATACTTACACATATCTGACAGTGCTTTGACAGAGTTTCTATCAACTGAAATATAACAATGTCATATACAGGTACCTTGAATTTACTGATTTTGATATTTTCAAAATAAAGTAAAGATGTAAGTCTTTTGGCAAGATCAGGAATTAGTATTTTCGATGATAAAATACACAGACACAATTTTATATTCATATCACTAGTGCAAAAACTGAATAAATGCAATGGAAGTTCACTTACAGTTAGTCCAAGTTTTCTTACAATACTTGCAATGAAGTCAAATCAAATTGAATTACAAAATTAATTCTATAAAAAAAAAAATTGAAAAACGTACTTGTACAAATTTCATGTGCCAAATTTGCCAGATTTCCAGAGAGGTATCTAGCCGATGGAAAGTGATATTGCAGACTTCCGTCTGAAGTACCTGCAATTGCTTTTAGTTCTTCTGTATTAATATCAGCAATCCCCACAGCAATGAGAATAATCCCAGTAAATCTTGCTTTTGAGGCTTGTCTCTTTGACTTTCGAATGGACTTAACAGTTCCAGGGCTAGCGGTTATAATAATGCCTATTTGTGTAGCATCCTTTCTCGTCGTGCTTCTTCGGAATCCCTTTGTCCTTATGTATCGGATAGCTTCGTCTACTCTTCCTCTGCCATAAGTTCTATTTGCATGCTTTAATCTTTCTTCGATATTACCAATATTTTGGGAATCGCCAAGACTCACAATGCTGCTAATGACAGTGCTATATGATATTGCAGCAATATGAGTACTGTGTGTCTGATGGTTCATATTTCTGGCTAATTCCTCCACAAATTTAAGTTGTAAGCGGAATTCGTAGTCCCGTACATTATTTGAGGAATCTATAGCTATCATAATATCATTTTTATCTCCGGCGCATGCTGAAATGAAATGAAAATGAAATGTGAACAGCAACTAAATTTATCGCTTATCAAAACATTTGGATTGTGACATAATCTGCTTAAATACCTTGTCTGACAAATTGTATGAACGATGTTGTTGTTGTTGTCGTTGGTATTGTTGTAGTCGGTGTTGATGTCGTCGCCGCTGCTGTTGTCGTTGTAAACGGTGTAGTGGTTGTTGTAGTTGGAGTGGTCGTTGTAGGTTTTGGAGTTGTATTAGGCAGGGTTGCTGTAGTATGTGTTGTTGTGATAGGCGTAGTGGCTGTAGTTGGCGTGGTTGTTGTGGTGGATGTGGTTGTTGTGGTTGCTGTTGTTGTGGTTGTGGTGGGTGTGGTTGTAGTAGTAGGCTTGGGTGTTGTAGTAGGTGTGGTCGTTGTAGTAGGTGTGGTCGTTGTTGTAGTGGGCGTAGTTGTTGTAGTAGGTGTGGTTGTTATAGTGGGCGTAGTTGTTGTGGTGGGTGTGGTTGTTATAGTGGGCGTAGTTGTTGTGGTGGGTGTGGTTGTTGTAGTAGGCGTAGTTGTCGTGGTGGGTGTGGTTGTTGTAGTGGACGTAGTTGTTGTAGTGGGCGTTGTTGTTGTGGTGGGTGTCGTTGTAGTAGGTGTGGTTGATGTAGTGGGCGTAGTTGTTGTGGTGGGTGTCGTTGTTGTTGTAGGTGTGGCTGTAGTAGTTGTGGTTGTTGTAGTTGGTGTGGTTGTTGTTGTAGGTGTGGTTGTTGTAGTGGGCGTAGTTGTTGTAGTAGGTGTGGTTGTTGTAGTGGGCGTTGTTGTTGAAGTGGGTGTGGTTGTTGTAGTGGGCGTTGTTGTTGTTGTGGGTGTGGTTGTTGTTGTGGGTGTGGTTGTTGTAGTGGGCGTTGTTGTTGTTGTGGGTGTGGTTGTTGTTGTGGGCGTTGTTGTTGTAGTGGGTGTTGTTGTTGTTGTTGGCGTGGTTGTTGAAGTAGATGTAGTAGTTGTAGTAGGTGTGGTTGTTGTAGTTGTTGTTGTAGTTGTGGTGGTCGTAGTTGTGGTTTCAGGTATAACTACAAAGCAATAGAAAGATCTTGTATTAGAATTTTTTTTGGGACCTTTTTTGGTTAGCTAAGTTCAGAACACATCCTTTGGTAGATAGCTTTCGGAATATTACATCAGAAATAAAATATAATTGCACTGTGGACATGACTTGGGTCAAATATTGTAAGTTCAGATTTTACGGCCAAGTTTATCATTTATTAAGCTGAATTGGGTATGGAAAATACACCAAAAGTGCAGTTAGCAATTAACAGGGTTATGGGCAACTTTAGCATCAGAATATCAAGAATATTTCTACATATTCTCTAACACTTAAGCTACTTAATTCCCTTTGACCTTGACTTTATCATGAAGACCTCAGACTGTTGAGTTTTCATGGTTTTCCATTTAGTAATAATTATTGCTATAATCTTTTTGATGAAGACTTAAGGTGATTCATGGGTAACAACTCATACAATTGACAGGCCCCTAATTTTTTTTCAGAATGTTTTTATCCAAGAATAAGTATACAAAATAAAACCAAAAAATTGGAGAGAAAAAAAAAATACCGGTGTATATGGCAGTAAAGATTATTGCACCAGAACGCCCCACACCAGAACCTGAATGCCTAAAAAATGGGCATTGATCTCACAATATTTTTAGAGGCAGCTATGCTTACAATTCTACTGTACGATCAACTAAGCACTACAAAAGGCTCTGAAACCGAGAACCAAGATCATGCATTTCCAAAGACTAAGTAAACTAACTCACTAATTTGTATCATTGTTTTAGATGTTGAGATGAATATTTTATTGTATTATGTGATTAAGTTCCACCCACAGATCTGAACCTAAGAATTCAAAATTTAAGAATGAACCTACATAAGGGTAAAAAAAATTTAAAGTTTCGGTTGCAAAATTCAAAATTATAATCTGCTGTAAGTTCTGGAGTAGAGAAGATTGTTCCGAAAATATTATTGTATTAAGAAGTTTTAATTGTCCCGGCAAAAAATGAAATTTTATGGTCGATACAATTAATGACCTTGTCAGCAAATACAATCTATCATTAATTCAAAAGCTGTCTGACATTTTCATACGTATTGTTAGACCACTTTTTACGCACTGAATTGTCTACGGATCTTTCCTTTTTTATCAATCATGACAAGGTGCACATGGCGGGTGTGACCAGTCGGTAGGGGATGATCAATGCTCCATGCATGGCACCTGATCCCTCCTCTGATGTTTTAGAGGTCCGTGTTTGCTCTGATCCAGATTTGTATTTTTAAAATAGACCTTTGAGCTGAATACTGTTCGTTATCTCCATATTTTATTCCAATATATGTCCCCTTCGTCTAAAACGGCTTAAGACCAGAATTGATTTAAATTAGTTTAATGGTTTCAGGGCCGCGCGGACGAAGCCAATACGACGAATACAAAGGGTAGCAACAGATCACCTGTTGAATACAGGTGACATAACAAGTAAAGAAATATTCTTTATTCTTTAAAGGATACTTAATGTCCTTTTTCTGTTAATTTTGTCTGCTCAATTTTGATATAAATCTAAAGATATTGATTAAGGTATTGAACTTAATATATATATATATATATATATATATATATATATATATATATATATATATATATATATATATATATATATATATATGAAAATTAATTGTATAAGATTTGATGATACGATTTCCCCAATATTAATTTTCGCCTACCTTCACAAGTACGAACTGCTAAAATTTGTCTGATGGAATCTAAGGCTCCAAAATTGTCAATTTTGAAAACATGATCGCTCCCAGGTTTACTGGCAATTCCTTTAAGTTCTCGGGAATTTGTGTTATCCCCAATACCAACCGTAAAAAGGCGGATGCCTCTCCGCTTTGTCTTTGCAGCTTCCCATATAGTTAACAGAACATTGGACGACTGCCCATCTGTGACAATAATACCGATTTTGGCAGCATTTCCTCTTTCTAAGAAAGTTTTCTTAAACATTCGTTTACGCATATATTTTATGGCTTGAAATGTGTGTGTATTATAACCCTCTCTTTGCTGTATGTTGTTGATGGCACGAAGGAGATCTGATTTGTTGGTGTAGTCACCAAGTCCTATTTCCTCTACAACGTCAGTGTTGTACGTCACAACACCGACACGGGTGGTGTTTGTTCCAATGTCAAACATAGACGTCACGTTTTTTACAAAGTCAATCTGTGTCCGAAAGTTTGGACCCCAGATACTATTGGAGGAATCAAGCAAGATAACTATATCTGCTGGCTTGTTGCCGCAGAAATATTCATTTTCTAAAAGAGAACAAAATAATAAATAAAGGTTGTGATTAAAGAAAAGCATTTTTATCATGTCATAAATTGTTGAACCAAAAATGTTTCTTCCTAAAGCAATTACCTTTTAACAGGGTCAGTTGACAAATCTGCAAAGAAGAGAAAATACGATTAATATGCCGCACAACCATAGAAATTTAATGTCAATTTAATTGTTGAACTATAAACTAGACCAGACACAAATAGATAGACTATCCATAAACTTTCAAAATCTTTTTTATTCAAAATTCCGATTTCTCCTGAATTATATGGCTTTATTGTACCAATTAAATGGATTTTGGTTTTGTTTTGTTTTTATATATTTGACGAAAAAATTGTATATTATTTAATTTTATGCAATGATCAGAAACCATTATGCTTTCATTGTGCTATGGCATATTTTTTATGAATTTATAACTGCAGGCTCTTCTTTATCATAACTGTCAAAGAAGGTTATGTGGTATAAAATCGGGGTTTCTCTTCACAGGAGAAACGTATTTCGTTTGAAAATATAGCACAATTGTAAACAATACAAGCATGTGATTAATTATACTTATACTATTGCCGAATTTCCCTTCTAGTGATTAAAATTGCAGAATACAGTTATTTAACAAATTACATATCAAATTGGTCTACATTCAGAATATATTGTGTTTCTCTAAAGCATTCCATAATATTTATTTTTTCATTTCATTTTCTAAAAATTCGATTAGTTTCTGAGATTGTATAATTAACCTTGCATTCCTCTGAAAAATGCCAGACCGTTTCAGACGACTGTAGGATAACATTTTCGAAACTGATTGTGAGTAACACTTTTTTAAAGAAAATGCTTCCCGATTAATGAGTTTCAGGGAAAAAATATTCTGAAAGACTTCGATCATTCTCTCGTATCTCGTTTAGTTTTCAAATCAGCAGGGCTGTGCATTTGTTTCTATTTCTTAAATACCAAATATTATTATCTGACATACTAACCCATAATATAAAGAAATACCACTTCAGTCTAGCCATCAAAAAGATAAGACTGGGTTTGTTATAACGTTTTACATATAGAAATCATTAGAATTATATATGACATTTGTTGATACCTTTGCGTTGAGATGTAAATGTTTGAGCTGAATGTAGCATTATGTAAAGTTTTTTTTAGAATGCATCAAGGACGTGAATCCGAACTGTTGGTTTGACTACTTATGAAACTACCCATATAAAATTTCTTATTCTTTTAAGTTTGGCATTGTTGTATACATGTATTTATAGGCTCAAATTGTTTTATGTGTTTAAATATATGACAAAGGTCGATACAAAATGTAAATCATATCTGGATAAAATGTGTTCAATATGAATCAATATGAAATCTTTATGTCACAGTTTTATTCATCAATATTTTCAGTCTTTGATCTTTCTTTGTATATAGCATTTAAGGCAATAAAATTTACTTATAGCTTGCATTATTTTTTGTTTCCCTAACCTTTATAACCAGTTTGCAATATCGTTGGTTGATCCTTTTTAGCATTGTACAATTCAAATGACCATATCAAATGTGAGATTAAAAATTGACAGTTTCTTGTAATACTCATTTTATTGTAATTATTGTGAAGTATCATAAATTTTCTTTTAGATATCAAGTTCTTGGGTATATAAACTTCACTGAGCATGCCTCATAAGCATCCTCTCGTAGGGTTTGTACAGCAAAGAAATTTATGCTTTTGAACTTGTGAAAATAGTTAATGCCTGCATTAGGAAAGACTGGTTTTTAAGAAATCCGAGGAAACCTTGAGTCAGATAAAATTAAAATATTGAATAGATTTTGTAAATTTTAATTTTTTAAAAAACGATTGTCAAACAAAAAAACTTAATATTATCTAATATCATCTGTGAATCTACTTCATAACGATTGATGTTTTAAAATTTTAGCAATTACATAAGCATGAACAAGCCAAAGAATGAGTGTATGACTATTATATTCATGATTTATGGATGTTTATGAACAATCTGCCTAGCTCTCCGGTGGCTCCAACCACTCAAGAAAAACTCCTCGGAAATTATCTGTAAAAAAAAATTCAGTAAATAGCTGTCGTATAATCTATAACAGCTTCTCGCTACTTTTTAAAAAACAGATCACCACCTTGTAGCAATTAACCTCCGCCAAAGATATAGAAACGTGAAATAGTTCATAGATATGTTTTCGGCATTCCAGTCCGATAGATGCGCATATGATGAGGACATGAGGCTTGTCTTTTTATCCTCCAATGATTGAGCAACATGGTATTAAATGATATGCCCTTGACATAAAAATGTGTCAGCTGGGTTGACTACGTTCCCTATACCTTCCCGTACTTGATCGTGTCTTTAAATGCTTGATAAAGATGTAATCCAATCAGAATATTGTGAAACATAGTGATTAAAAACGTCTGTTTTTGAAGATATGCATTGCATTGTTCACAGTGACATTATAATTTAACTAATCAAGAAATGTGTGCATGAAAGTTTTCAAAATGCTTATTCTTTTTAATATTTCTATAATTATTTATTTTAATTATAAACATTGTAATGTCTTTTTTCTATCTGAATTCTTTTAGTTTCTATTTGTAGGTAATAAAAATTGTGCAATGAGAAAATTTCAAGGCATATGCCAGACACCTCTAACATTTATTCTAACATTTATACAACAAATATCAATCTCATTTTCCTCCTTTGGGCTTCGGGAGAAAGCAGTTTGTCAAAAGAACACCTAATTTACATTGTGTACTTTTTAAACGTATAAACTATCAACATTTTAGAGCTTCACTACAAATTGCTTAATCTTAGAATAAACATTAATTTTGGAATTGAATTGGAAATATGGCAACAATAGTGCATTTATACATTTTTTTTACATTCTTATCACTACTTATTGAAAGAGTACAAGAAAGTATGGTAGACATTAACTTTAGAAAAATAGAAAACATTTTGTAAGGATAAAGTATAAAAAAAGAAATGGGGAAAATTATGCTCCCATATATTTTTTTTAAAACGTTTGGTCACTTTACATCATATATCAATATGGATTAGAATATTTAAACGTTAAAATGCTATCTTTGTTTGTTAGTGAGGGAAATTAATGTTGCAGCAGTTGCAGTAACTTTTTCTGCAATTTTTGCAACAGTAATTCCCATACTAACAAAAACATTTTATTGCTTATATTTCTGTCTTTATAAATAGTCATGCATAGAAAGAAGGATGTAGAACGTTAAATATTGTATTATTAATATGTACGACATTATATGTTTCATTGACGGAAGAGTTAGCTCAATAGGTTTGCTTAGCGGAGCTAAGGTATAGATAAACGACCGTTTATGGTTTTTTATAAGAAATAAAGAAGACAATATCAAGTGAATGTAAATATAGTTCTGTCATTACAAAGAATTTGTCAGTGGTCACCAAAAGCTTTCATCAATCGGAAAGGTATGCATTATGAAGACTCTAGAAAACATCAATGAGTATGTCATCCTTATTTATCATCACTAGTCTTCCTCCACATTTTATATAACATTAAAAGTTACAGTAAAAATTAAATGTTTATTTTAAGTCGCTGATATACAGTGACAATGCATATAACGTTTTAAAAGGTAACTTACTGTTAAATGAATTTGTAGAACCAGAAGTAATACTGTTCGGAAAGGTTCCATAGTCAAAATCTATATATTCCTTTCGTCAGCTTTACTAATTGGCGTTCTTATTATCCAACATTTCTGTGTAAAACATCTCTGGTCTGTCATGAAACAGTTATTCCATTAATGTTTAACAACAAAGACAGGTGCCCGTAGGCGGAGAATCAAGATGAGGCACCACGAGGATTATCTCGATATCTTCTCTCCCCAAAATCCAATGTATCTTTATCAAGGAGCATCATTCAACCGAACTCTTAAAGCATCCACTGAAATTGTTACTCTACCTGAGATATGTCAAACTTTATCCGAATAATACTTCAGCAGCTGGAATTGTATAATGCGAGGTAAAAGCTTCCAATGAACGAATAAAATCCTATGGGAATTATACGTGGAATTTTTGCTATTTTAGTCATCAATGAAATCATTAGGCGTTCATAATCACATTTTGTATCCAACTTAAAACACTTAGCTTGTGGGAGGAAAGCTTTAAGATGTGGTTACCTTTATGGTTTGGGTCTAAGGTCTTGAAATAATAAAGCATTTTAGCTGTTTTGATGGAACACAAGAACATCTGTAAGTCATAAGCCCCATGTCGACAAGTAACTGTCTAACCGTTCTATTTTTGCAGTTTTCATTAATATTGAAGACACACAGAAAAGTGGGTGTAAGTTGTATTGAGGAACCGTTTTTAATGTTTGTTTTTAATTTCTAAGACTTCTATCTTTTAGGCACAATGTGGATAAAACATGAAGACTTAAAAATGTTTTGAATTGAAAATATATCATCATAGAAAAACTTAATTTTAAGCATTCTCCTGGACAACTTCTATGGGGAAGTTTCTTTCTTGTCATCAAAATCAAAATACGATATCTAAATTATATTTATCAGTATTCAAATATTTTTTTTTAAACAAAATCGATCAACCAAAGCATAATCACCGATTTGTGCAAGTCTTTCTTGCTTGTTATTCATTGCTTCAAGTTATAAACTTTCCAGACGAGACGATATTTACAGTATCAATTAATCTGAGTAATAAAAAAATAAATGTGTAAACATGAAATGTAGTTTTGTCTTGTTTTGTTTTCATTCAAAATCATTATTTCTTTAACAATGTATTTCCTTAAACCTTGTAGATAAATCGTTTTAGTTCTCAATTTGGAAATACCTAAAATACAAACACATCTTAAACAAAACAGCTCTCAAAATAAGATAAAAATACACCAATTACTTTGGGAATATCTTGAAAATAGAGACACATTTTTCATTTTGGAATTTTTTTTCAAAATACACAGTTCTTCAATTTAAAATTATTTCAAATTCAAACACAGAATACACACATTTAAAATGTTTTCAAGCAAACACAGTTCTGTAACAGGACTTATTATCGTGCGGATTCAATTTTCGTCGTTCTCCTGGTGTATGTATGGTTACACCCACGAATTCATGCTCTCTATTAAATGTTAAAATTTCAATTTACAGTAACTTATTTGTCTACCGTACTTCAACCTCGAAATCAAATCCTTAGACATCCCCCACGCAAAAATTTGACTCAAAAAAAATATGTGTTTTACAGCAATCAAAAAAGAGACACATTACTTAACATTTGGAAGAATTTCAAATACATTTAATTTTTGAATTATTTCAATACAAACATATGACTCAAATCTGAAAATATTTCAAATACGTACAGACACAGTTCTGGTTTTGTGGAATTAAAATATCAAATATAAATATAGCTCTCAAATCTGAAATTACTTCAAATGCAGACACAGATGTCAATTCTGGATATATTTCAAATACATACGAGCTTTTAGTTTTGGGATTGCTTCAATTATACGTTTCTTCAATCTGTAATTAGTTCAAATATAGATTTAATACTAGATTTTAGAAGTGATTCAAATGCTAACAAATGTCTCAAAATATTGCACATATCTTATTAATATGTATACTATTTATTAACCAATATTACATACTTTCATTCGTTTTTAAGTCTATTTAACTATCTTTAATAATCCTCTCCTATATTTTGTTTCTTTTGCTAAGCATTTAACTTAAATTGAATGTATAGATACTTAGTATTCAATGGTCATTTATTTCAAGATCAATTTCATTTACAAAAATTCAGGTTTTAAAATTCAAAACACTGTACTTATTATTACACGTCATCGGTCTGCATGACAGCTCATTCTCTGGGCTCGAAAATAGCTCATATTCAGCATTATTATTAATGATGCCTGCTTAATCAATGAACACATTAAATATAACTTGCAACAGTCATTCATTAAAAGGTATTTGAGTTCAGCATAAACATTACGTTTCCTGTGTCAATAATCCCATAAGAAAACTATGCATGAAAGGGTCTAATTATAACTTATTTTAACAAGCTTTATCTCCTAGACTGAATTCTCTTTTAAACCTTTAAAGAAGAAAAACATTAAAATGGTTATATATTTGTCTGCTACAAGTATAATCAATATAGGCCTCTGTTCACACTGACCATTCACCATTCTTATAAGTGTATGTTTTTATATTTTTTTAGAATCATTTTCTTATTTGCATACATCTTATATATATTTAACATAGAACATGTGTTAAAATTATATGTGTACATAATATGTATCATATATTTAAGCACACTAGTTGGACATTAGCTAGAGGGCACAATTTGTGATCCAAAACCAATAGAAAACTATGGTAGTGATTGTTGACTTTAATAAATTGGACAGCAGGGCTTCTAGCTGCCTGCATATGTCCTTTCATGAGAGGTATATTGAAAACGATTCCCACGATGAGGTACTATGGTACACATGTATATAAAGCCTTATCGTGCCTACAAAGATTTCCTCTACATGCTGCTTACATTACTCTTTTGTTTAACTATAGCTGAACATTTCAAGTTCAGGACTAGTAAAAAGTTTTAAAATTATCGAAATATATATCTAATTCGTACAACCTTTTATACAAGAATAATTGATAATACTTCATTCAATGTTAACATTTTTTACATGACCCACAATTACATTAAGACATTGATCAAAATCTCAAGGCGGAAAGTCATATCTCAAGTTCATCTTGTATAATCGTGTGTATTTCATTACAATTTTTTTAGAGTATAACTATCAAATGAAATCTACCAATTCTATGAAGAATCGAATCCATGTAAAAACAGAGCTATTTTCAATATCGAATGACATATTTTTTAAGCTATCTTTGGCAGATCTAAATTTGTTATTCTATAAATAAAACATCGGATATGAAATCATTGCTTCCGCAATGATGTCTTGAAGAGAGTATTGGAGGCACATTACAAAACCACAAAAATTTGAAACTCAGTAGAACAGCTTCCCTCTCAAATCAAACTAATGCATGTGGTGGCATCGACGATATTTTTATGTAATCAAAGTAAAATTTAGATATAAGGGGTTGGGTAGTGCATTATTTATTCATAAATCTGAAAGTTTGAAACAATTTTTTATAACAAATACACAAGAAAAATTTCAGAAATGCGATTCTCGGTCTAGTAAATTTAAATCATAGTGTAGCAACTGGAAGTCAAGGCATCAAGAATAAAAAAAAATATTTCAAATTCTTCATATGATTGCCAATAAATATACTGATAATTCATTAATTTGATTTTTTGAAAATTTTGTTTCTATGCAACGATTTATTAAAATGAAGAAAGTTTTCAAGGGTTAAAGAATGAAGCATGGTAGACAAAAACAGAGTGCGATACTTCAAGTAGTCCACCTGTTGTTGCGATTTCTGTAGCATGGGCTTTTTTTATGGGATGGAGTTGCTAGCCCCACGCCAAACCCCCTGGACCCGGAGGACCGGTGGTTTTCTGTTGGGGTTTTCCTTCCCCTAGTCACTGGAAAGGGAAGCAAAAGAGGCAGGTTTTACCTGAACCCAATTAAAAACATAGCCAAAAGCAGAGTCCGTTGGCGCGTTGTGGTTGCGGCCCTATGCTCCCCAAGGAGTGAACAGGAATAAGTCAAGTAAGTCAAGTCATTCCACCTGTTACTTGTGTCGCTTCTCAATGGTATCCTTTGTAGTAAGTCAAAGACACGCAGGCTGCACAAGCTAAAAAAAACGTTTGGGCATAACATGACTGTCAGAATAGATAAAGAATTTAAGAAACATGGTATCAGAAAATTAAAAGGCAAAATTATACCATCTATTCTTTCGTTTTTAGTATACTGGAAGTGAAAAAAGAATTGGAAAGGATACATGAATATTGAACAATATATGTTTTAGTTCCAGCTGACAAAGCTTCTTACAATGTAATTTTTCTTGTAAGGCTTATTATTACAGCGGCATCTTTGAAGAACTTGGCTTTAATTCCACATCTGGTAATTTGTACTCACAGTTCCTTTTCAAAATATAAAATTCTTCAAAATCGCCATTCAGTTTCCAATACTTTTAACATTCTGTGTCAATGAAGGTGACTTTGATTAACCGTAGCTATACTGGATTCCAAAACATTATAAAACTACAAAAATATATTACAAACTAACATATAGATGCCTTAAGATATATTTTCAAAGATACATTGAAGGGTCCAGTAAATGTTCCACCAAGCCTCTGTCTAAAATATTAACTGCTGTGAAGGAGAAACTTCACGTGCTACATGTACCACTCCGTACTTATTTAAGAAATGGTGTGAATCAAGCGTTATTTTTTTAATTCTCAGAAACTCCGAAAAACTTTTAGAAAATATAAAATCACAAGAATTTTCCAAAGTCAATAACATCAAAACCTATACTAGTAACTTTTAAGTAGTATTTTTAACCTGTGCTAGGATAATAAGAACCCCCCACCCCCGGATATCAAAATCATAGAATTATTTTATAGGAATGGCCGGTATTTAAACAGTAAAACATAATATAGTATTATGTGAGATAGAATAAACAAATAAACAAAACAGCTAACCATAATACATAATACAATGTATTTTGTTGGAGGAAAAACTTCCCTTTTCCTAGCCATACACAAGGACAAATTTATTTTAAAAAATTGCAATTAAAGTACGAATGCAGTGAAATTGATTATTTATTTCAAATCAGTATTTTAAAGATAAGATAAATACATTTATTATATGATTGAAAAAATCCTGGCTCTCTGATTGTATGGCAGAGATCCAAATTTACTGAAATTCCAGGTGAACAAAGGATTTATTTTTCTACATAGGACTAAAAATAGATTGAAAAATAATTCCAAACTGATATCAATAGTTCTGATAAATTATTTCACTTGCACTCGAATTCCACTCAGCATACCATTCAGGCACATAGAATCGGCGTGGGGTTGCAAGGGACCTGCCCCCTTCCAAAACTTTTTTCTAAATTTTTTACTATTAATTTAGTATGAAAATATTCATTGAAAGGCTGATCCGCCAAACCACCCCACCCCCGCTGAAATAAAATTTGGAGTTGGGAGAATTCTTCTCTTTTTTGGAGCTACCCAAAATTTTTTAAGGTAAGTTGTCTTTTTTTTTTTCTTTATAACCCCCCCCCCCTACTGTCAAGATCAAACCTACATAGCTGATTTTTTCTAC